GCCCCTGTGTGGCTAGCAGCACTCGGCTTTGTCACAGAGGTCATCATGCTAGGAGGAGCAGGCATAGGAAGAGAGCCAGTTGGCTGGTCTGTGTCAATTGCAAGAACAGTGCTCTTGGTAGCAAGGTCCTCGTCGACTGAAGACAGGGGTGGTCCATCTAGACTACCGTTTGACTTGTCGTCTAAAGAAGTGTGGCCAGTCTCAATTAAGACATTCTTCAAGACCTTGGTAGAAGAAGCAGAGGTCGTTGTTGTGGCTGGGGGCTGAGTCTTCTCAGGCTCGGGCTCCTGTCTGGGTTGAGTCTGAGGCTGAGTCTGAGGTGCAGACTCGGGTTCCGATTGAGGCTCATCAACATCTCGACAGAGAACAGCAACAAGATTGCCCTTTTGGCCGCGGCTTAGAAGTGATTCTGAACTGGCTGAGACATCACCACATGATGCTTGGATGAAGCCCTGGGCTTGTTGAACAGAGTCCTTGCAAGCAGCACTGCATGCCTTGCCGTCGGTGAAGTCTTTGGGGGTGCATTGGGAGAGTGGTGTATCGTAGGCTTGAACACAGGTCTCTGGGAATGACTTGTCACTGATAGACTCGAAGTCTGACAGTTTGAGAGACCCTGCTGAGGCGGAACCAGCCATGAGAAGGAAAGACAGCTGGAGCCATCGTCTTGTAGATTGTCCAGTCATTGTGAAAAAAGTTGTTGTCTTGTATTTGACAATAAGAGCTGTAGTTTTTCGGAAAAGAAATGCTTCGACGATAAAAGTATCGAGAGTCCACGTTCAATTATATGATTGAATGATTGTGGCTTGGCTCAAGCACGAAGCATTGATATCATTCGATCAATAAACTGGCAACTCAGTTGAAACGCGCTAGAGTGCTGACAACCAGGCTGACGGGACCAACACACTGAAGGAGTTGGTCTCGAACGACGAATCGAAGCTGATCGTGGGCAGTGAATGTTTATGCGTTGTGTTTTAGTGAAACTACCCTTGGGAAGATCGTTTCAGCGGCAAGATTGAGTATAAGCCTCGAACAGATGGGATGTTTGGGGATGATCAAATAGATTAGTTGTTTGTAAGAGACGGATCGATTTTTAATGCTTCTGAATGGAAGGAATTTGATCGGCGTTTTGTGATGAAGTGTTTGTGGAAACGGGAAATGAAGGTGTCGTAGGTGATGGTTGTCTCGATGTTGAGATGCGCGACAAGTGAATTAATGAGGTGTAATGCAGGCGATGATGATGCTCGATGAAAAGACAAAGAGTGCGCTCGAACAAGTAAAAGTAGTAAAGATGAAAAAGAGTCCAAGTATTGTTTTTGTCTTGATGGAGTCAAGCGTCGAGTGTACAGCACAGCACAGTCTTGCAAGTGTAAGGCGAGGGAGCACAGCTTTCCTCTGGTTTCACAACTGAAACGAGTGTTGATAAATGTTTGCTCTTCTGTCGAAAATGGGAACAAAGGAAGGAATACCGAAAATGGGGAGAGGGCGAATATTTGATAAAAAAATGAAGGGGATGCACAAAATATCGGGCGGATAGTATGGGGAAAGGGCTGAGGAAAAGGATGGAGAGAGACAGGACGATCAGGGAGAGGCACTATGGACTACTATGGAGCATCTTTTTACAGAAAGGGATATCTAATGCACATCACTAGCTCAGAGTCTGGTCAAGAGGGCGCATCACAATACAAAAGCACCGACATGTCGTGAGAAGAGGGCCAAGCCATTGGATGGGCTCCGCAATGATCATCAGGGGTGCCTCTTGTCAAAGTCTGAGCCTGACGTCACACGAGCCATGAGTTGTTGAAGTCGCTGTGTTTGCTCTTGAAACGACAAGACTTACAACGGGTAGTGTACAGCATTCCTTGTGCCATCTCAACGGCGTGTTTGTCCTCGTATTCTTCTTCGAGCCCTCGGTCTAGACGAGACTGGATGAACCCACAGAGAGAGAGAAGGAGAGAGACTTTGTTCGAGAGACAATTCACACGGCAGACTTGTTTCAGAACCGTTTGTTTCGGTTTCATTCGTGCCGACGCACAGACGAATCAAAGCCTCGAGCGGGGACGCCAAGATGATGAGGAAAAAAGGAAGAGAGAGGCTGCTCGAGTCAGGATTGCTTCTAGTCTAGTGCGCATGGAAGGTTCTTTGACTATCGCTATAGTTGAAGCCTTTTATCGATAATATTTGCTCGAATATTATCGAATAGTCCTGCTGAGGAGGCATCATCGAGTCCTCATCCCAATACTTGGACCCTTGCTGAATCCCTGCAGTACCCTTCGCCCCCAGAAATTGCATCCTTTGGCGGATCGAAAAGTGGAAATGCCGTCCCAATGGCGACATGGTACAATCAGAATGTGGCGCTGTAAACTTCCGGCAAGGTACTCTTTTTGACCATCTCAGTCAGCTTACGAGCAAAATACGAGAATATTTACATCCAACAGAGAAATCTGAGCATTCGTAGTTTGTTTGTCCTTGTTTCAGAGTCCTCGGAAGCCGTTCGGCAGTCATAGATCAACGCTTAGATCAGCTCTCTCTAACCCGTTTGCTCACAAGATCGACTGCACTATTCCGCCAAGGGCACGACCCTTTGAGTCAAGCCGCCCATTTCAGTAAAGACACGACATGTCAGGCAATGCGCTCCCTTTCTGCCTCGGCAAATCAAGGGGGAGTTTATTCCGGTTTGGTCCAGGGGGTTTTCCTTCTTCTTCTTGAGACTTGTGATATCGCTATAACGGCTTTTGAAGCTTCTGGTCTTGATGAACACCCTAGCTCAGCCACTTGGACGCGAGTTCCAGGGGTTGTTTGCTACCACTACGGAGTATCTAACACACATGTTGCCAGTTACGGGTAGCACCAGAACTTCAAAAGAATGTTAGCCAATGGGGACGTTGGATAGCATCGTCCCTTCAAGCCCCATTCGCGATCTAGGCCTGATACTTCTGGGCGGGTTCACAAACTTCATCATTTGCGAACTAGTTGAGGACAACGGCTTTGTCTGTTCATGTTTCGAAGTCTGTCACTTGCCCCCTTCAGAGTGCGCCTCTTGAACTTTCTTGGACAATTGGCCTCCTTTTGGACGAGCCCAATTGTCTTGCTGGTCATTTGACAATGACATGGGTGTGATGGACTCGGGTTCAGCTACCCTCGGGGCGATGCTACCAAATCACGGCTTCGACGTCATTGACGTGTGATATGACAAGGTGCTCCCAATATTCATTCATGAGACAGAACTTATGCAGTGGGATCATCTCATATTTCACCCTGTCATCTCCTCAGATCCGCCAAGTTGGCTCGGAACTGGAGTCTAATCTCGCCAAAGAGAGATCGACACTTCACTTTCGTCACCGCGATGAGAGGGAGAAGGGACTCAGAAAAACTGCCCCTCAAACCTCAAAGTTTGGGTTAAGTCCATACCTCACTGGAAAATGAAAGCACTTCGCTTCGCAACATTGGCTGAGCGGCAGTTTGCGCCGTGATGGTAGGAATGGAATATTATGAAGCAGTAAGTCCTGGTCAATAAGTAGGCACAGCAGGAGACTCGAGTAATATATTTAATATTGAAGGGTCGTTTCCATGTCAAAGCGCTGTTGGTGATATCTCTGTGCGCCTGCAGCGCTTTGAAGTTTGGACTGTTGGCTGGCACACTTTTCAGGTAGGGAACAAGCACGAGAGCTCTAAGATGCCTGTGGGTTATGGCCATGCGATGGTCAGATAGATAAAACATTTTTAATGATATAATTCGCATCTCGGCCATTTGACTGCTATTACCTGTCGATTTGGCATATCGTTACAAACTGTGCACGCGGTTACTGTTCTAAACACTCACAGTACTTCACATAATACTGGTACTGCAAACCTTAACTGATTGGGAATACCAACTATTTGCCTATTGGGGACTGTTTATTATTTTATGTAAGCCTTTATAACAGGTAAGTCTGTGTTTCCAAGCAAAGTTTTCGCGGCAGCTTGCTGTAGAAGCCGATGTCAAGTCACAATGATTGGCCATTTGCCATCGGTTGTGGCAAACGTCCTGTGAGAAGCCGTCGCGAGTCAACACAATGACATGATCCATGATTATCGCGGGAACCCCGGCACGCAATTGTGGATGTAATGACACAATAGGTCTGTATAACCGCAGCCCAAGTCCAACTCAAACGCAGACTTTTCATCATCATTTATTATTCGCAAGTTCAAGGACTTTACTTACCAACACCAGAATCATTCCAGATCAACTTGCGAGGGTGAAATATTTCTCTTACCCTGAAGCCTCGACGTAAATATTCCTCATTACGCATGGTTATATACCAAAGTTACAGCGGCTATTCATAAGAACAGGATCGATAGCTCAGTGGTAGAGCGAGGGATTGCAGATCCCTAGGCCGCGTGTTCGAACCACGCTCGGTCCTCACTTTTGCCGACTCAACGACCCCACGACTTGGCGTCGTGTCACTTTTTGTGCCTCAACGCCACGTCTGCATCTAAGACATATATGCACAACCAACATCGTCAGAAACAGCAACAAGTCAGGGATCGATAGCTCAGCGGTAGAGCGAGGGATTGCAGATCCCTAGGTCGCGTGTTCGATCCACGCTCGGTCCTGACCTTTTGTTGCCTGATGATGATGACTCAATCTTTTTGCTTTAGTCGATGACTCTGCTTCAGACGCTCACGACGTGCATGTTCGCCAAGAATCGCCTCAATTGCATTGCGTGGCCAGTAATTAGTCTGGTACCGCGACCTGTAAACAATTGGGCTTCTCGCCGGTATCTTTTGCCATCAACCAGCCGGGTACCATTAGTGACAAGAAGGACATCTCCCCCTGCGGTGCATTATACACAATTACTAAACGCTTTGCCACTCTGCCGTTCTGATTATCTCACTATATTTAGTTCCTAACCTCAAGTATGATAGAACAATCACTACTAGCCCGAGAATTATACACCAATTCCTTTAATATATATGTCTTTGTCTAGACAGGCAGTGCAAGCTATGGAGACTCCTCTAGTCTACAAGATATTGACAAGATCACTTGAAATTTGATGAACATTAACACCAAAATCTGAAGGGGTAGTCTGTAATCCATGTTAGTTCCCACCCATTTCGTGAAGAGACATGCAAAACTTCTTACCTGAAGGTACAGAATACCGTCCTCAATGACAGTCTCATTGTAGGACTTCTTGGTCTTGTCTACAACCCGAACATGAACAGCATGCTTGTCCATGGCCTCGAGGAGTCCCTCCTGAAGCATATCATCCTCACCGAACTTGTCATACTCAAGCTGCGAGACAAAGCCTTCAAGATAGGAGAAATGAGATCTTCCAAAGTTTTCCTCCCAACCGCTATCCGCACTAGCCTTGCCCTTGAGCTTTTCAAAATTGGCCTCAAAGTTAGGGACGATGGTGATCTCTTGACCGAGAATCTTGTTCAGCTGCTCTTGAATCTGCTGAACGTTGGGATCATAGTCGCTCCTGATAGAGGCCCTGGCAACAAAGCTCATGGGCCGAACAGTTGAAGGAGCCTCATTCAGGGCCTTGGTGATGTTGTTGCTTTCAGCAGCATGGTTGGTGTTGGTACCCAAGTTGCCCTGGGTGAAGAGGATGATAAGTTCACCCTCGGAACCAACCTTGGTTCCACAGTAAGAGACAGTGTTCTTCTCATCGAAGTCCATGGTCAGGACATGACCGGAGCAGATCTCGTTGATTTCATCCCTAGTCCCATCTCCATTTCGTTCAATGAAGTACTTCAACTGATCTTCAACGCCCTCAACGTAACTAAACAGAAGAGGCAACAGTTAGTAAGTTACTACGATCACCACTTGATCGACTAAGAAATGGTTCTTGCGGATAACGACCAAGGCGAACGGCTACAAAGGGAAACGAACTTGACAATGAGATCACCCATTGAGGTGTGGCCCCAAGAACCTTCTTCGGCATAAGGATAGAGGGCTTTGGGATCAATGTTGATAGTCCATGGCTGACCAAGAATCTCTGAGAGCTTCTTTTCGTGGTCCTCCTTGGTGTTCTCCCAGCTGTCTCGGACTGGAGTCTTGTTAGTGATACCATCATGGCTGGTGTATGGAAGATACTTACTGTTCTTGCGGACAGCAAGGGGCAGTTTCTCAGCAGGTGGAAGTCGAGACATGATGACAGAAGAAGGGGATCTTTGTTGTAAGTTGGTAGACTGTTTAAGAGAGTTGTTGATACTCAGATCAGAGTCTTGCGGTGCGAGACTGGCTTTTATGCTTGTTTCTGGCATCTGAACCCCTGACGACCTGCCATATCAGCCTAGTCTCAGAGTCTCAACCGGCAACTGAGGTGCCGGTATTGTCTGAAGCTAGACTGTGTATACAGTAGTCAAGTTGCAAGCGTGTAACACTTGACAACGCCAACCTTTGCCATGACAAGGCTTCAATCCAGCCTGTGACCAATAGCACGTGCTGGAGTCAAGGGCAAATATGCATTTCGCAGAGTTGACCAAGTTGCCCATAGCCACATGGCGTTTTCCCCATGCCGAGAGCTGCCTAGAATGAGGGCCCTGCGTTTAGCTGCCTAAGCCCTATTGGAAGGCTGCAGATTGGAATGCTGGGGAGGAGTTGCGGTGATGGTTGGGTTTTAATCTGCCTTACAACGCCAAAACGCCCAGCTGAAAACATAGCGCTTCTTAGCGTGTGATACCCCGACCAGCGTGAAGCCGCATTCCCCTGGCAGAAAGAGGAGTATCAACATTAGGGGTTCATTTTTAACCGACGGCGGGTAAATAATAATGGAGATATGAGTTCATCATCTCTCGCTTTATCGTGAATCTTCCTCATCTCAAGACTGAACTCTCCATCGCATATCATAGCATCAACCATGTCTCTGTAGGTTGACCTCCGCAGCTCTTCTCTCTCATTGGCTGATTTACTGATTCATGCATATCAGCCCACTTAAGGCCAAAGTCTCCATCCGCGATAATTGGGAAAAGCCCGAATGTCGTGTTCAAGAGTCTATGAAAAAGCTGAAAGACGTACTTGGACTTGATGTTTACTGTGAACCACAATGGCAGATTCTTGTGTCCGAGCTAGAGAGCTTTTGGGAAGATAAGGGCGAGCTGGTTTCTTCAGTGGCATCCTTCGTTCATGTTTGGTTTGAAGCACTCACCGAGTTGCTTGATGATGAGGCCCATGAGGCTTGGACGGACACTGTACTTACAAACATCAGAGAAGTGACTTCGAGGTTGAACTTGACGGTTGAGGTACGTTGCTAGTAGTCCATGTGGGTTCGGAACTGATATGGTATATCGCAGGTGTCGGAGAATCAACGACCTTCAACCAAGTGGTCTGATGCACAACTGGGATTCATTCTTTATATTCCCAAAGATCTAGTACACCAGCCATCTCAGTACTTCGGTCTCTTTAAGGAACAGCTTCTTGAATGCTTCGAAGAAAATCGGACGCCCAAGACGTTGCCCATCCACTCCACCACGGGCGATGAATGGGCAGATGTTGGAGCAGAAGATCGAGAAGAAGAGCCTGCGAAACCTTCTAAAACAGACTACAAACCACCAGCTGTTGATTTTCTCCCGGACCCCAACACTATGCCGAAGCCTAGTGCACTTTTCCAGCAAGCTCCCTATCACCTCTTCGTTTATACCTCGGCATCGAACAGGAGCCACAAGATTGAAATTGAATGTAGCCACAGCCAAACTTTGGAAGTTTTGGCCGAGTACTTGAAAAGGTGGACAAAGACTAATGTCAATCGTGTAGATAAGGTCAGTATCTCTTGTGTTTATAGTGTTTTGACGCATATATCTAACACATCCTAGCCTCCTGTGGTGGAGATCACACTCAACCACGCCGCCTCTGGCTTTGGACTCGAGTGTGATAAACTCACCCTGCACTGTGAGAACAGATATGGACCTATCTACAACATATCTGCTGCTGCAATTTTGAATTTGGTTGAGGGAGTGTTTGGGTATGAAAGAGTCTATGGGGATTCCACTTCATGGCACTACCGAAGAGACACACCGTTCAAGAAGCGATAAAGGGTCAGATGTCGATCAGCCATGTGTGTTTAGACAGTCATGTGTGTTTAGGCAGCCATATGTTTTTAGTTTCAGCATATAACGATCATAGAGTCAAATAGCAAAAAGAAAAACATACAACACCGAGGATTCGCTGGTCGTCACCGACCCAACTACTAATTCAGCACTTATCAGTTTATCGAACGGAGAGCGGACGGGATCCCGAGTTGTCTGATAGCTATGGTCGTATGTGCTTAGCTTTGCCGTTGCTAGACAATATAAGGAATAAGGGTTGTTGGCCGTGACGCATGACTTGATCAGGGGGCTACCAACTCGGCTCCGACAACGAAATCCACAAACGGCATAACTACAAGCTCGTTGTCAGACTAATAAATTTGCTTCTCCAAGTCGAGTGGAGTTCCTATCTATAACTTGACTGTGTTCAGAACGAACTGTGACATAGAGTTGTTTCGCAGGCCAAGTACGAATACGAATGCGAACAACCGTCAAACGTATTCGGCATCACTATAATCTTCCTTTGCGGTGAAAAGAGGGATAACAACTCCAGAAACATATAATAAACCCAGTTCAGTGATGATTCAGGCTTACGATCGGATGAGAACTATTGGTCGGTATTGAGATCGCGAATCCTTCTGCGTATCAGGATGTGATAACCGAGAGTACGCTCCAGGACTTTGGCCTGCGGCGAAGCTTGGCTCGCATTGATGGGATAGTTGAAGCCAGTCCGGGCTGAGAGATAGGAATCACAATGGGGCTGGCGTTATTGTTTTCCTCGAAGAGATCTAGCTCTCCCTTTGCCCATATAAACCCCCCAATTCCCCCGACTACACAACTCATCCAACAAACCGCAGCCATTTCTTCTGTTTCCAAATGTTTTCACTCCTCTACTACCCTCTATGGGCCTTTGTTTCCTGCCTGGCTATCATTACTCTCAACGTCTTATACCAGAAGCTCCCTCGAAATGCCAACGAGCCTCCATTAGTGTTTCACTGGTTTCCGTTCTTTGGCAATGCTGTTGCTTATGGACTCGACCCTTATGGCTTCTTTATGAAATGCCGAGAAAAGGTTGAGACTACATCTTTCTTTTGGTTTCTTTCTTGTGCTGACTTCTTTCCTAGCACGGTGATGTCTTCACCTTTATCCTCTTTGGTCGAAAAGTCGTTGCCTGTCTTGGTGTTGACGGCAATGACTTTGTTCTCAACAGTCGAATTCAAGACGCAAACGCCGAAGAAATCTATGGCCCATTGACAACGCCTGTCTTTGGTAGCGATGTCGTATACGATTGCCCAAACTCGAAGCTCATGGAGCAAAAGAAGTTTGTCAAGTTTGGTCTTACCCAGAAGGCTCTTGAGTCCCATGTCCAGTTGATTGAACGAGAAGTACTGGAGTACATCCAAGCTGTACCGTCGTTTTCTGGAAAGTCTGGCACCGTTGATGTACCCAAAGTGATGGCTGAGATCACCATCTTCACTGCTGCCCGGTCTCTGCAAGGCGAGGAAGTTCGACGGAAGCTTACCGCCGAGTTTGCAGCGCTGTATCATGACCTCGATCAAGGCTTTACCCCTGTGAACTTCCTGTTCCCTTGGCTCCCGCTGCCTCGCAATCGACGCCGAGACGCTGCCCATGCAAAGATGCGAGAGACCTACATGGACATTATCAACGAACGAAGAAGAGGCGAAGGAGACTTGGAAAAAGGAACTGACATGATCGCCAACCTGATGAATTGCGAGTACAAAAACGGGCAGCCGATTCCAGACAAAGAGATCGCGCACATGATGATCACTCTTCTCATGGCCGGACAACACTCTTCGTCGTCTGCTAGTTCATGGATCATACTGCATCTGGCTTCATCCCCTCATATTGCTGAGGAACTCTACCAAGAGCAACTCATCAACTTGGGTGCTGGTGGCGGTCTTCCACCTCTTAAATACTCAGACCTCGACAAGCTTCCACTTCTCCAGAATGTCGTCAAAGAAACACTCCGTGTTCATTCTTCTATTCACTCCATTATGCGAAAGGTTAAGAGACCTATGCAAGCACCAGGATCCCCTTACACCATCACCACAGACAAGGTTCTCCTCGCTGCACCAATTGTTACAGCATTGAGTGAAGAATACTTCCCAGACGCCCAGAGATGGAATCCTCATCGATGGGACAATAAGCCCCAGGAGGAGGCCGCGACGGACGAGATGATTGACTACGGCTACGGTGCTGTATCTAAAGGAACCAAGAGCCCATACTTACCCTTTGGCGCTGGCCGGCATCGATGTATCGGAGAGAAGTTTGCATATGTTAACTTGGGCGTTATTGTCGCGACTCTGGTGCGCAACTTTAGGCTGTCGACTCTTGATGGCAAGCCTGGTGTCCCGGCAACTGACTACACTTCTCTCTTCTCAAGACCAGCTCAGCCTGCGTACATAAAATGGCAACGCAGGAAGGCTTGAATATGTTGCAATGTGGAGAGGCGAGTAGTTGTCCGCATGAATAAGCGAGTTCAAGAGACAGCTTTTGGTGAGTACATCAAATATCGATAGCATATCCGAAATGGACAACATAATAATAGCTACTGTTTCTATTGTAGAAGTTGATATGAAAAGAGGAGCGTGCGCCCGGCTTCGTTTTCATGTTCTTCAATGAATCGTCACCCTTAGGTATCACCTTGCAACCATGGTATATAAAAAAGATGCCCTATTTGCACAATTCCATCTCTACTGTTGCGAACCGCCTTGTCCGTTGGCACCGCCGGCACCGGCACCGGGACCACCAGCACCTCCGAAGGGGTTGCCACCGCCGCCCATCATGTTTCGGGCCCTGAAGATTGAGTTAGTGACTATGAAAGTGACGTGGGCCAAGGGTAACTTACATCTCTCCGATCTGAGGGTCGGACATGAGGCTGTTCAGGTCAGGCATACCTCCGCCAGTCGAGTAGCGATCGGCCATCTCGCGTAGACGGGGGTTGCTCATAAGGTTGTTCATAAGGTCAGGGTTGCTCATGAGCTTCTGAGCCATGTTTGCGAACATTGGGTTGCTCATGATGCTACCGAGATCGGGCATACCACCGCCCTGGCCACCGGCACCACCACCGCCGAACATGCTGGCAAGGTTACCAAGATCGGGCATGCCGCCGGCACCGAGATCACCACCGGCGCTAGGAGAAGCACGGGGAAGAGAGTCCTCCTCGGCCTCCATCTCTTGAACACGGCGCTTGGCCGTCTCGTAGCCCTTCTTCATAGCGTCAGAGCCACCGTTACCCTCATGCTGGATGCCGCGGTCGTAGGCCTCCATAGCACCACGAGCATCGCCTAGGGCGAAGCGAGCAAGACCAAGTCGGGACCAGGCCTTAGTATAAGCGGGGTCGATGGCTACGGCAGCCTCGGCGTCAGATCGGGCAGAAGCGTGGTCCTTGTTGGCCGAGTGGGCAGCGGCACGGTTGGATAGGTAGACAGCGTTGTTGGCGTTGATAGCCAGAGCCTGGGTGTAGAAGTCGATGGCAGCGCGGTAGTCCTTCTGGGCCATGGCAGCATTTCCCTTTGACTTCAGGGCCTCAGCCTCCTTCTTCTGCTCATCGGTGAGCTCGACGGGTGCAGGTGTAGGAGCAGCGGCGGCGGGCTTGTCGGCGCGGGCCTTCTCGAAGACAGAGTAAATCTGGAGGAGGTTCTGAGATCCGATGGCGGCTTGGACAGCGGAGGTATCGGAGGGATCGACCTTGAAGGATTCGGCGATACAGTTGATAGCCACATCGATGGAGTCCTTGTCGTCGGCGGTGAGAGTGCCGTCATTTGTCGAAGCGGATAGGAAATCGCAGATAGCGAGCGCCAGGCGCTGCTTGGAGTTGTGAGTAGACGCCTACATGAGAGTATTAGCCACATGTCAAGAGTCATGACGAGTACGCAGTGCAGCTGTGGTTGATTTGATACTGCGGGGGATTGAGCTGACCATAGCGAATGGAGAGGACCTGAAGGACAGGTGAGAAGGGAGGTGGAATAGAAATGGATGGAGGGCAGAAGATACAAGTCTAATAGAAAAGATCCAATTGAAACAAGAAGAGGATATGATTCGGTGAGACAAGAGGTCAAGGTACAGTAGATCTCAGAAGTGCAGGCAAAAAAGGGCCCCGCGGTTGAGGCGTGGAGTTTGGGCTGGAAGGTTCCACGTGGGGCCTGGGAGCAGCCGAATCTGTGCTGTAGCTGCGGGGGAACGACACCCGACAGTCAATCTTAGTGGTGTAAATAAAGTATCGTATGCCTGAGATCCATGAAATTCGTGGCCAAATTTATACTTTGACTTTAAATGCCCGCCGGAATAGCACTTCATACAGCAGAGTTTCAGTTCAAGGGCTGTCGTTCGTCGTAGTATATTGGCCAATGAGAGCATCATCAATATATAAAACTTCCTGCTAATTCAAATGTGTCTGAGGCTTCAAGAGTTGAATGGTTTATTCTGGTGTATCTCTGTAGTATCTCGCCGTAGCAATGCCCCTTCACTCCCGAAGCAAAAGCCCCTGGCCTGGCTATACAAATCCATAACGCCGGTTAATGCAATCGTTATAACAGCGTCCGTCCGCCTCTCTCTCCAGAGCGGGCATTACCCATCTCGGGCTTCTCATTTCCCAGCTCGTCGTCGGGCTCTGTCAACGTTCTTGACCTTCCTATTGCCTATAGCAGCTACCTTGCGGTACTTGGTATACAGTCTAAGAAAATCCTTGAGCACGACGTAGAGGCATCCGCCAACGAGACTTCGCCCCCATTGTTGCTGGAGCAGTCCCGGACGCATAGTGCTTCCGCGTGGGAAGGAAGATGCAGCAGTCCATTGCTTAGGGAGAGCTAGGCGTAAAAGCTCACCCATGGCAAACGACACTCCAGGAAGGATCAGTGCACTTACTATGGCATTAGATACTCCGGATAGAATCGTTCCTAGACCGGGTCGGCGGGCGGGCGGCGCTTGGGGAGCTTCGTGTTGGTTTTGTTGAGCAGCTCCATCCCCATTTCCTGCATCAGGTACAACGGCTGGGACGTCAACCGCATCATGGGCCGGTTCTTCGGGAATACGGGCTGGGTTATGAGGCCCGTCTGCTGCCCCTTGATCCTCCTCACCTGCCGGACGCGGCGCAGGTGCATCGTCGACAGGTCCCTGTGGAGCCATTTCGTTTTGTCCTGCTGGCCTAACATCAAAGCCTTCCTGGTCATCTCTATCAACCTCCTCGATGACCAGTTCGATAACAACTTCGCCGCCCTGCTCACCATCCGCGTCCTGGCCGCCGGCGCCAGCATCATCTTGGCCATCTTCATCGATGTCATCGCCTTCGAGAGCTTCGATGAGCCCATTGAGAAAACCAACAACACCGCCCTCTCCATTCCGTTGTTCGGGTTGTCGCTCATTGGCAGGAGGCTGATCTCGTCGGGGTTCGACCGGGGGAAGCCCCATGATCTGCCTATTAAGGTTGACTTCATAGGGGAAGACAAATTCGCGCCAAAGGTTGAGATAGGCAGACCGCACGTACGGAAACACTGCCATCGCGAGTTGGGGTGATGGAGGCCAGGTCAGGAAAGTATCGTCATGCATGACTTGATAAACGCCATACTAGTGATTTGTTAGTAGTTGCAAATATTTACTAGAACCCTAACTTACCAGTGAAGCCGTAGAAAGAAAAATCTTGTTCCCAAACCAAGGCATAAGCTGTCCGACCAGCAGAGCTGGTCCCACGTTGGTTAAAACCAGTGCATTGCCTAGTCTTTCACCCCCAGTCATCAAAATCCGCGATGCCTCCCCGTGAACCCAGATCTCATGACCAAGGACATAATCGACTAGAGCCTCGCGGCCTGAGAAAGCCCACATAGCGAATGCGCCATACATCTGAAGACTGAACTGCACTCCGAGTGTGACAGATGAGAGCAACATGAAAGGGCTCGCGCGAGTGAACTTTTTTGCGACGGCATCCGTCATAACGACGATAGGATCCCATAGTCCTTCCAACTGAATACGATCCTTGCATACTGGGCACTGGAGAGGTTTGTTGGAGCGTTCACAATCCGTCACCCATGAAAGCATGCAGTCTTGGTGGGCTTCGAGGGTGCATCCGCAGGGATCGACCCATGATCCCGGGGGATCTGAGGGATCTTCGTCAGTCAAACAGATGAAGCATCGTCGGGGCGCATCGGCCGGTTTCGTTGGAGGGAGAGCGGCTATGCCGGGTGTATCTTGGGTTTCTGACGGCATGGCTGAATAGCAACCTCGGGTCGCGTGCCGATCGGGTGGAACGGTGGTTGTAGAAGTGAAAGCGGTTTCGATAAGAGTAAGTTCTATTGCATTTTATGGCCGGTGTATTGAGAAAGTAAAGTCGGTTCTAGGAATGAATGAGGGAACAAAAGAAAGCCTTGTCTTGTGCTGATGATGTTTGAAAGTGGCACGGCAGTGGACGCGGCGGGCTGACCTAGCTGGAGTGGAGCCTGACATCACCAATAACTAAACTCCCGCTTGCCTCGGAGTCATGCTTGGAGACTGGGCGATCTCGGAAATAACCAATCAACGCAAGAGTCTCTTTTCACAACTCATGCTCATTGCAATTAGATAGTAGTGCCGTGTTATTTCCTTTACCAAAATAAAACTCTGAGCTTATTATCCAGATGTGCCTTACAGTTGAGCTGATCGAATGGCTAAGGTCACGGGGAAAGGGAGACAAAATCATCAATACTCTTATCTTATGGGAAACAACCTCGAGATTAAGGGAGGATTATTCAAGTTAGATATACTACAAAGCAAATGGGAGATTATACTCATGCTAGAATACCAGGGGCTAGACATGTGTTTATGACAAGATTCCTCATACCTCGAGGATACCATGCCTTGCAAACGACCAGTCCTGGTGAACGCCAATCGAACCCTCGTTGAACGGCTATGCCTGATATCAGCTTGGTCAGGTCTTCAACCTGATGGCTCTTATGTCATTCTGGTACAATGCGACAATGTCTAGCACTTGCTGATAGTCCTTTAGCAGCACTCATCATGCTTGTTATCAACTGCCCCTCAAGTATCTCTAGGTAGTTGGGAGCGACAGCGTTCAGCGTGGCACACTCTCGTCTGTTTGGATGGACGCCATGTTGACGAAAGATCTTATCTGACTCACTTAGAGCTCACACTGGGGTCCAGGGTTGTTGGTGTACCAGAAAAGATAATAACACGCAGTTTGTGGAACATGGTAGACGTGAACAACTCACAGGCTGTAACTTGACTGTCATAGGGAGCTTTCACCAATACCCCTGCCGTCATTAACCTTCTTAATTTCCGAGTTCCTGGACCTTCAACGGGAGCTAGTGATGTCTAATAAATCGGCAGAAACGAATATTGAGTTCGTGGCGAAACACCGTGGCGCACTTTAACATTCACCCTCGTGACAGCATCCACTGTACCAACAGAGTATCTCGAGGCCTATCTACTGTGAGCAGAGGATAATTATCAGGTAACCATAGTATCAATACATATGTTGTGTTGTACGATATTCCAAGATGCCAATGTCATCCTTCGATGCGGCAGTATGAGCAAGTTACGGCATCAGGAAAGCGCAAGGTTGTGAACCGGGCTTTCGACCAAAAAAACAACACAGCCCGTCCACTGATTGTCACCGTATTACTCGTAATGCACCTTGGACACCGGCCCAAGCCCATTTAAAGAGTGCTACCCGCCTCTCTCGATGTTTGAGGAGTGGTGTCGCAAGAACTCGCAACCATGGCGCCTACACACAAGACACCATTCGCACTGATCCTCACAGAGTTGGCCATTTCGACCACGGCAGTGACTCTATTTGGTCTCATGTATCCAGTAGAATTCAGATCACGACTATGGGAGAACGGTGGCGAACAAGGATGGAACTCCAACCCTAACAAGCGGATCTACTATTACGCCAACCATCAGGAGCCACCTGAAGTGCCTCTGATTTGGAGCCAAAGGTACGATATCCAACATCTTGATACCAATGCATGTTAGTAGGGAACACACTGATATTGGGCGTCTCCAGACTCTACATCTCGAACCTCGCGATCGCCATCCTTGGGTTGGTCGTCTTCTTCGCCCGCACCGCCATGTCACATCTTCGATACCTTCCCCGCTACGTAAATAACATCTACGACGCGATCCTTCTCGGGCTCTGGGCAGTGAGCATTGCAGGTCAAACGTCGAGCGACTTTACCGATCCTGAACACCCGAGTCCACATCCTTGGTACCTAACCAGAGGGTGTTCTGCGGCTTGGGACAAAACCCAAGGCTATTGCCGAATTGCACAGGCGAGCTTTGCCATGTCAGTCATAGCTGCGATACTATATGGTGCGAGGTTGATACGAGAGGCTATGTTGATAGCATACGAGAGAGGGCAGCGTCACCAGTCCAAGTGGTCTGTCCGGGATGTTCAAGAGGTGGAATCAATAGCGGGTGTATATTTGGATGAAGGAGGGGAATCCGAGGCCGAGTCAACAACAAAGGAGGATTGGCAGAGTATGGCTTTGAGCCCAGTTCTAGCATTCTTCCCGTCTTCGGACAACCGTTGGTAGAGATAGTTCTGCTGGCCCAGTTGGAAACAGCCACCAGCTAAGTTTGGGATAATACATTCACAACACAAGCATGATACATCATCGTCAAGAGTTCAGACTGCAATTTGTGATCGTCATTTAGTTCTGAGACTTGCACTCTAGTGCCGACAAGAAGTAATGAGTGGATCCATCGTTAACCACCATCCGAGTTCCCATTCCCCATGTCTCATCCATCAGGGTTCCCGTCTAGGTGTTGAAGAATAGTTTATTTGTGCTTGATTGGCATACGTTAGTCCTCGGACCGTTGAGACATGCACCAGACCAGGGAGAACTTACAGGGCAGCCGGCGCAGGTGCAGCTAGAGCCGCAGCCGCAAGAGCCAGAAGAAGCGCATCCACAGCCAGACATGATGATGGTTGTTTTGAAGGTTGGTGTTGAAGATTGTGTGTATGTTTGTTTGTTTGTGAGTTTGTGATGTGAAGTTGAGATGTGGAGAGTTGATTGAGGAGAAAGAAAATAGCGGGTGGATAAGAGGGGAGGTTCTTTTAAAGGACAGCAGCCCGAGCCAGGCTGATTCACTGACGGCAAGCAGTGGGCAAGAAAGGACCTGAAGGAGTCACGGCGGGTCAAAATCAGTGGCTCGCGCAGTTTCACACCAACCTGAGATTCCCTTTGGCCGCCTAAAACGACTCCTCAATGGCTCGATTTCTCAAGCTTGGCCATTCTCATCGGCAGATCTTCCCAACTGAGTGTAACTACTTGGTGCACCTCGCTAGGAGGCGTCGAATGACGTGGGGAGTCAGGATCATGGTACTTGATGATTGGTGCAGTCTAATGTTTCCTTTCCTTTCCTACGTCGGAAGATCAATGGAAAAGAATTCACCGAGTTCCGATGGAGAAGTACGCTTCTAGATCATTAGCGACTCAGTTTTATAGTCTAAGTTGTTCGTTGCTTGTAAAAACCACGTCTTGGGATAAGTTCGGTTCATGAGTGCCTAGCCTCAGCCAAGTTTACAGACCTCAACTCTCATTGAGTGCCTCCTAGGCTCTTATTATGAACGAGTAGTCCTTGCATCTATCCATCTATATTCAATTTCCTCGCTATTATATCCAACATACCACGCATTTTTGCTCTTTTCCTCACACCGTCTATTACCTGTCTCTTAGACCAAGGCTGTCCCAGTTCGGCGGGGTATGGAGGGGTAACTGTCTCAGGGTCCAAGAGTGACGTCTGAATGTCTGATATTCGCCTCAGTTACACAAATCCAAGATATTGTATCATTATCCTGCGCATTCTTGCTCAAGGTTTGATCCTTGCCAACATAAGATCGATTATCATTTGAAGATATTGATACCTGCTCATTTCGATGCCACCAGGTGCGAATAAGAAACGACAGCTCGTATCACGGCTGTAAGCATTTCTCACGTAACCGGCCAGCAAATGCAATATTAGCTCAATATCTCTTTGATCCTTGAACGTGCTGAAGTTGCCCGGCCCTCGTTGAGATGTACCACGACAGGGTAGGCAAAACTTAGGACGTTTGTCCTAACCTAGGTAGTGATGAAAAGACTTGGGTAACTTAGCACAAGTTTAGGATACCTTCTGCTGGGTTTATTTTGATACCTTGTATCAAGGTCCGATGTTTTGTTGCTTCCTGAGGCTTACAACCCTCCCTATCCAACGCCATGCGCCTTTGATTACCCAATCATTCTTTCTTTTCCCGACTCACTTCCTCGCGAACCTCTCTCACCACATTCATGAATTGGCTCGCACCAAGAGCCGTCAAAATATGCCACCAGCCGTGGAACTCGAGAAGCCAAGCCCAGGGCAGTCCAATGCGCTGTCGAAAGTTCCTTAGCTCAGCGCAGAATTCAAGATCGAGGTTCCAAATGAAATATCCAAACAGGCAGGTGAACGTGGCAGTCCATACTCGGATAGACCAATCGCGTACATTCTCTTCGGAAAATGCTGGCTTGGCCCAGTGGAATAGATAGCGAACACGCACGCCGATGACGATGAGCGAAACCCAGAAGCCGATGACCTGATAAATGATCTTGGCAGATCTGACGTAAAATACCGAGAAGGAAATGAAGAAAATTGCCAGGACGATCGAGATGTAGCGAATATTCTGAGCAGACTGTCGTAAGATGACGAGGGAACGAAGCATCGACCAAGACAGCAACAGCATTGACAGTTCATCGACAAATTCCAACGTCTGGCGAAGAGTCGCATGGAAGAGAAATGAGCCAAAGCCAAGAACCAAGAGCGAGAAAGACATAAAGTCCCATTTCGGGTCAAGCAGTCCACGGCTGCGACTACGCGAGCCATACATAGATCGAAGAGCCAAGTAAACTACAAGCCAGAAAGGTCAGCTGTGGCCACGGACCGGATCCCGCGGCGTGACACAAGAACTTACCGTACGTAACGTTTGTTAGGGCATTGATGAATTCGGCCAGGTAGAATGTCACAGCATAATCTTCCTCACAAAAGCTGCAATCATCAAGTCAGTGAACCATTCATACAATTGGCAGCTAGGGTGACGTCGTACTTGGCTCTGCTAGTAGGGGGACTCCAAGCACCATCCAGCGAGTGGGGATCGCCGTCGAAACGAAGGTTATGGTGTCCCATCTTGGCTATATCTCGTCGAAAAAATTAAAGACTAAGGTTAATTCTCCACGTTGATTTCTTCTTCTTTGCTTTCTTTGGTCGAGGCGTGGAGGAATGAAGATGCCAGTGGTCGTTGGCTCGGGGATAATCACGTGGCAGCATTCCCTGCTTTTTCTCATCGGTGACCCGCGGCTCATGATGAATCACTGACAAAAAAAAGGCCTGTATTTATATTTTCTGGATTTCTATGAAAGCGACCAATAACGACCGTTTCAACGAATCATGAGCAGTCTATCGTGCTGCCATTTTTCGCACCGAACCCGCTTTCTCGTAAAGGACTGAACAGGCAGACAGGATGGGCAGATAGTGGGTGATAGAGGGGCGACTAGATTCAAGACTGCCTCGGTTACTCGCGTCCTCTTATGATCTCTCTCGTCCCTTGTAATTCCTCCCAAAAATCGTTGGCCATTGCGTGTTCTCGCTCAGGACCTTCTGTTTTCGATCCGTGCATATCCTCTTATGAATTGGCCACGTGGTGGTTGTAGAAGAACGACTGGTAATCAGTCAGATTTATGATCTTTCGACGAGTATTTTCTCGAACTTACTATCAGCATAGCTCATGAGAGCTCGAAATTCTTCCAGGTCTTGGAGCATGTTCACTTCTCAGAGACCCTTCACGACTCCGGTGTCCGGGACATAAATAGGTCGCGGGAGTTGTCCAGCCAAGGCGTACTACACCTCACGATAGGCAAACTGCACGGCCTCCACGGTGAAGAGAGTGGCATCAAACCTCTCGACTCCCCTGTCCTCCGTCTTTCGCTCCCTAGCCACGTATTTTCGCGTTCGCAGGCAAACCGACATTGCCCAAAGGTCACCGCGCTTCGCCTTGGTAGCAATCAGAGGAGCCATCCAGTCGAGGTAAGCCGTGATACCAGAGCCGATGGCATCGGGGACGCGTATGATTCGTATGAGTCCGACGACGTGGTGATGAAGGCGTGGCGACTGCTTCAAGGTGGCCTGGCTGTAGATCCAAGGCTGGTACAGTCCTGGCGGTCCTTTGTACATCTCGGGAGGGGTGAAGCGGAAGCTGTACCACGTCCCATCACCAAGCTCGCGGTGCCAGTATATCCCCCATTCGAACTTCTCGGAGCCTACAACATGTTGCGGGGTCCCTTCTAAGCCTTCAAGATGTACAATCCCGATATTGCTTGAGTCGACGTCGTAGATATGAGCAATGGTATGCGGTGGCACCTCGGGAACGGAGATCGTCATGTACAGCGTGAAGGGCTGTAGCTGTTGGGTTGGGTAACTCATCTTGAGACCTTCTCTCGTTCGCCTCTGGTGTAGGAACCGCCGACGCTCTGTTGAAGTGAAGTCCCTAGGGATGCTCAGGCGTGTTTACAGGGTAGGCAAACGAACTCGTGATGGAAATGATAGAATGCTGCTGGAGTTTGTATAGCACAGGCCCAGATTGTTTGGGCACTGGCTGTCAGCTGCCCGTAAATGTTTTGCAAACAAATGGCCAAACAACTGGTCATGATCATGACCGTACCCGCCTGGCATCATTGTTTGCATTCGTCTGTAGCGTAAATTCGATGGATAGTGTGACTCGAAGGAATTGAGTTGATAAGATACCCTGGACTTTGGCTGCTGCAAAATTCTATGCTCTTGTATCGTAATATTTCGGAGTTTTGTTCGTATCATGAGTTCTCGTGTCTCAAGACGACGGGCATCGGCATGATGAGCTCTTTGGTCTAAGCAACATCCATGAGATGAGCTATTATAACGGACCGACCATTTAACAACCGCACCTATCTCTGTGCAAAGAGAACCGCCAACCCCACAGCAGAGCCACTCCGTTTCGCAGCTTAGCCGTTACGGTGCTCGCTAAAGCGCCGAGAACTTGACCACACGATCAATTGCGCTACGCGTTCTGGGGAAGCTCTTATGCTGTACGCCGATAGGTGGGGATATATTCGGGGGTTGCTGAGGGGTCGAAGAGAGCATGTCAAAGTGTTTAATGAGAATTTTCAGCTCAGACTGTTCTTAAACACAAGTTTTTGACTCATTTGAGGATCATAGAGTCTCTCATATATAAGGTGCTCGACCTTTGCGACAACTCCAATAGCAAAACTACAGAAACTCAATTGCGGCAGTAGAAATCTACGTCATATCATCAATCAAAAGCTGGTCCACGATCCCCGAGGGGCAATAGCGGGGCCTTTAGAAACCTTGCAACGACAGCTTCTCACGCGATAAAGCTTGCGACGAGTACAAAAGCTCGTAATTGTCGCTTCTGAAGCAAGAAAGCCAATCGCAAAGATACACCGTATCATATACTTTCATCATGACCGGTACCGTGCCCGTTGCCAACGCCTTGAGCGACATCTATCCTGCTGCAGCGCTCGCTGAGCAGGGTCCACGATGGAATAACCTTCTCAGCAAGTTTGAGTCTACCTACGGACATGCTGCTTCTTTCGTCGCTCGCTCCCCTGGACGAGTTAACATTATTGGGGAGCACATCGACTACTCTCTCTACTCGGTGCTGCCCATGGCCATTACTGCCGACACCCTTCTCGCCGTTTCCGCTACACCCGCCGCCCAAGACGCCAAGTCCTTTCGCATCCGCATCGCCAACGTTGAGGATGACAAGTTTGAGGCCGCTGACTTTGAGGTCCCCTTTGAGGGGGATGTTTCGATCGACGCGACCAAGCTGGAGTGGACCAACTACTTCAAGAGTGGTCTAAGGGGTGTGCTGGACCTGTTGAGGAAGAAGTATGGAAAGGATTTCAAACCATGCAGCATGAATTTGCTTATGGATGGCACTGTACCTGTTGGCGGAGGACTTAGCTCGAGCGCTGCTGTGGTCAGCACGAGTTCACTAGCTATCATGTTGGCCAATGGTGAGAAGACGGTGGACAAGACTGAGCTGACTGAGCTTGCCATCGTGAACGAGCGTGCGGTAGGAGTTAACTCGGGAGGGTATGTAACATTGACCTTCAACAACGATCGCAATCTCACTAACACTGACCCAACAGTATGGATCAAGCTGCCTCTGTCTTCTCTGAGAAGGGTGCCGCTACCTTCGTTTCATTCAGTCCAAGCCTCAAGGCTAAGCCAGTTCACTTCCCTCCCACAAATCCCGAAATCACATTCGTTATCGTGCAGTCCTTTGTCACATCAAACAAGCAGGTCACAGGCCCCATCCACTACAACCTTCGTGTAGTCGAGTGTAGCATCGCTGCATCCTACCTCAACGCGGTTCTGAATCCACCCGGCACACAACTCCCCGAGGATGCGGGACCCCTGGGCGTCAGTCTCGGAGGTTTCCATGAAACTTTCTTTTACCACCAGAGCGGCTCAGATTACTCCGCTGCCAAGACCCTGACCAAGGAGGAGGAGCTAGAGAAATTGATCGAGATCACTGAGAAGACCCTGACACAGGAGGAGGGATACACACGGGAGGAGGTAGCCAAGGTTCTGAACATCACGGTCGAGGATCTCGAGAAGCGTTTCATGTCCAAGCTCCCAGTACGTGCCGAGCGCTTCAAGCTCCGCCAGCGAGCTCTGCATGTGTTCAGGGAGGCACACCGAGTTCTTCGTTTCATGAAGCTGCTCGAGAACCCTGTCCACACAGGCGCTACCGACACAACCAAGTTCAACAAAGAACTTGGTTCGCTGCTGAACGAAACCCAAGTATCATGTCGGGATTTGTACGAGTGCAGCTGTCCCGAGCTTGACGAGATCTGTGCCATTTCCCTTCGGGAAGGATCTTACGGAGCCCGTGTGACCGGTGCCGGTTGGGGAGGTTGCAGTGTGCACATGGTGCCGGCGGATAAGGTCGAGGCTGTGACACAGGCCCTGGAGCGGGAGTATTTCTCCAAGAAGAACTTGACGGAGGAACAGAAGAAGGGGGCCGTTATGGTGAGCCGGCCGGCAACCGGAAGTGCCATCTACTATGTCAAGGACGGCGTGAAGCCTTAAGGTGTATTCTTAATACGGATAAATATGTATAAGCATATTAGGAGTAAATAGTGCATCGAGGAACAAAAAGCATAAAGTGAACGGCAGCAAAGGTCCGGCTGATCATACACATGGTCAAGGGTTCAAGAGAATTTTGCAAAATGTTGAAATTGAATGTCACTTGGGGGCCTTTTGGGCATATATCCCACCTGAGGCCCGAGAGCTTGGTCAGTCCTTGTACGAGCAGATCACCGATGTGACGCGTCGTTCTGGCCGGGGCTCTTGGGCAATTATTATCCGTAAGTGGGAGTATTACCCTATTCGAGGGACTTATGTGAGGCTCCGAATATGCTGGACAAGCCGACAGGGCAAGGCAAGGGAGAGAAAGAGTGCGATGTCACGCTTTGAATTGCCGGACGCGATCACACGCAAATGCCGAGATGACAACGAAACCTTAAGGGGATGAAGCATACAATTGCGCTTCCGGAATGCACGGCTTGCGGTGACAAGAGGGCACTGTTGGACGGAAGAGGACAAGCTAAATTTCCGGTCAGGGGTGGTCTGTTTTTAGGCGTCTAGAAAGATGAAGAGTGACGGCGTGGTTGTGGCGTTGGGGTTTAGGGACAGTATTTAGAGTTTCCTCTAATTATTGAGAGGGTGACAACTTGGACGTTGCAGAATCAGACCTGACATGGATGCTTAGAACTCAGAGAGCCTTGGGAAAATCAAGATCGACAGGGTCGCTTCGAGTCTATGGTTCTGGATACGAGCGAGAACATTGATGCCATCGTGATCCTTGCGTCTTGGTACCCGATTCCCCGGGTCGATGATTTTTTTTTTCTTTTTCTGGGAGCAATAAGATTAATTAATGCAGGCCTGGGACTGTTTGTGATTACTGTTGAAGCCCGGCGCAACGGTCACGGAAGCAGGCCGAAAGATGTTAGAGAATGAGCAAGGGTAGTGAGGATCTGGACAATCATATCTTCCGATGTGTCAGCACTTCCAGTCATACAATCCCAGTCTAGCTTCTTTAATGGGGTAATTAAGCCGAAAGAGTTGGAATCTGGGGGCGGAGAGCTGGAATAAATTGAGGCGGACGAATCAGAAACATGATCCTGGATGTAGTGAGGGTAAACGTGGGAGGACTGGAATTCCAAAGAAGAAGAACCTGGTTCCTGGACAATTTGCTATTGTCTAATGAAGCCTCTGAGACCCATTTCAAGCTTTTAAACTTTTGTGCGTGAGAATAATGCAAGGGGAATGAGTGGCATAATTGACTGAGAAATGTGGTGTTTGTGGCGGTTTCTATTTGATATCATAGATGGATGGATGGCTTGGCTTGGCTTATCTGAGGATTTGGAGTTGTCGTGATTAATGGCCCGACGGGATGCTGACTGGCTGATTACCGAAACTATTACTGGTTACACGGCTTTGACCAGGGTGTTGATAATCGCCGTTCCTGGGCACCTTAAAGAACTTTGTGAGACGACGAATTTCATTCTTACAGGTCAACATGTCTCCGTTTCTTACTGTGCTGCAACACGATGTCTGAGATAAGATCTTAGGCCTCATGGCATTAATTGCAAATTATGTTCTTACTTTATTTTGAGGACTGCACAACTTGACTTGTCCCCTTCAACCACTAACACAGCACAGGCCCAAGCATTGGTCTATGCTTCCAACCAAGGCTGGGGCTACTGCAAGAATCTCACCATGTCTCCTCGTCTCCAGGCCAAGGACGATCCCATCACGAGATACTTTCACCTAAGAGTGCAGTCGCCGTTGCATGTCCGGCGCGGCGCGGCGCGGATCCGGATCAGTTTCCACGGTTTCTCCTTGTCGTTTCTGGTGGAGCATGAAATGTCGAGTTGCAACGTCGAGCAGTCGTAAATTGGCCAGTAAAGATGATCATTTCGGCAACGTTTATGATTGAGAGCTTGGGCAGGCGAGCGAGTGGGATAATTAGGTATCCTTCTGGTCTTGTGTGTTTGTGAGTCGAGGCTGGTAAAGGGAAGGGATGCTTGTCGTGATGTGATTGATGTCTAGCAGCGGTGAATATTCTTGGACCGAGTCTGAGTCGATATCACTCTGAACCATACTAGCCAGGTATGATCAGCTCATGCCGCATGACGATCTCGAGTCGGCGAGTTGTGCTGTTGGTACGGAGCAGGTAGATCATGTTCTGGACCGGCTAGGCAGGCCAACGTTCGTTAGCTGTCATTGTCATTGTCGCAGTCGTTCTCGTCATCTGTTAGGTAGTAATATGCCGCCGCCGTTGAAACATCCCTGTGTCCCAGCGATGCATAAGGTTCTGATCATAGCAAGCGCACAGCCCATGCAAACTCCACAGAGTTGCAACTCTGTGGTCTTTTGCTGGTGTCTTGGTTCATCTATCCGAACAATCTTCCCTTGCCTCGTTCTGGATCTCCACGGTTATGAGTGCCGAGCGAGGCTAGTCCCTGAGTTTCAAGGGTCGTCCTTGATTGAAGCTATTCCGAGGATAGGTATTGTATTAGTCGTTTAGGATTGATCTACGGGTAGTTGCAGTACTCGGTCAATAATTTCCAGCGGCATAGCTAGCATGCATGCACCCTAAACTCATATGTCTTGTCGAGGCATGGCATGGCATGGCATGCCGGGCTGCTTCTTGGGCTGGATTCTATTGGGTTGTCGTAATTCTCCAACATCAAGGGCCAAGTCGGGTTTAGGGCCAGGCGGTGCCATCCATGCCATGCCTCTTGTTCATTATGTACTTGGGTTCCCCTCCTTCGATCGTCACTGCGAGCGGGTTTTTCCTCATCTTTACAAGCATTTTATCTCTTGTTCTCCTTCTTCTCTAATCTCATCGTTGGATGCTCAAAGCGCTTCAGTATAATAATAACCACTTGTCGCCCCCTTCAGTTTCAGACAGACCATCCATTTCTTGGCTCCAACTGTCCCCGCTCATATCTTTCCTCTTACTCTTACCCCAGAGCAACTGTATCGCGTACGCATACCGCTATCTCACCCGCTATCAGTTGATCCCTGTTGTCTCCGGGGACGGCTTCTCATTCGCGAAGCAGCTTCAACAATCTGTCATTCTTTTTGGTTGCCTCATTCTCCTGTTGTCTCCAATTCCCACTATATACCCGCTGACTCCGATTCCTTCTCGTTTCTTTTTTCTTTCTGTCCTTTCACTGCACTCTGTTGCTGTCGTTATCGGCTTCCATCTTCACTGTGGGAGCCCTGACCCAGCCCCATACCAGCCCAGATCCACTAACTTTGGGGGTTGAATCGCTGTACTCCACTACCCATTCAATCGGAGCGAGTTCTTCTCTTCAGCCCTGATTTGACTTTGCTCTTCCTCTTCCATCATCTACAATCATCATGGCTCCGGACTCGTGGTCCGACGCCGATAGCGTGTCGCAGGCTTCGCAGCATTCTCAAATGTCTAATCAGGATACTTCTCTTGATCGGCAGCTGATCCGCCATTTGATGCAACGCTATGGTCGTGATGGCATTGCTCAATTGATAAACGAGGAGGCAAATTCGTCTTCCATTTCCAGTGAGTAATTAATTAATTTGACTTCCCGCCCTCACCGCTAACATCGTGTCTTCCAGTCAACGATGGAGCCTCTGTAGTTACTTCAAGTACCTTTTCTTCAGTAAAGTCCGAGGAAACCCCAAGCATCTTCGACAAAGCCAGCATCCGGACTTTTTCATCCGACAACTCATCGACTCGAGGCAGTATCATCTCCAACGTATCCGCCCGCACTGCCAAGCTTCTTGGTCGCAAACAGGCTGCTCGCCCTTCCATCACCCACGAGGAGGAAACGTCACCAGCATCCAATGAGTCGTCAACACCGGCACCCAAGCAAAAGGGCTCTTTCACATGTGGCTTTTGCAGAGAAGAGGGCATTCAGAAGACATGTACCCGTAAAAATGACTTGAAGAGGCACATTGAAGATTTCCACAATACCAACGCCCAGTGGTTCTGTCGGCAAAAGGGTTGCGACATGGTTTTTGACTGGCAGACGGCATACAAAACCCATTTAAAACAAGCTCATGGTGGTTCGCGAATGGCTCTTGATGAAGCCAAGGTCAACCTATGTCCTCAAACTGTTTTTGCTTGTGGTTTTGAGAACTGCTCTCAAGTTTTTGAATCTCCCAACGATGACGAAGCCGATACGATTTTCAAGGAATTTGTGGCCCATGTGGTCAAACATTTCGACGAAGGCTCCAACAGCGGAGAGTGGACTTATTCTGCCAGGATACGAAACCTCCTTCGACAATCTGGTCTGGTGCGTGCCTGGCAGGGTACTTCATGGGGCGAGGACGAACGAAGTCAGTTACAATGGCACCCTCAATCCAGTGGCATTCTCAGGAAACGCCTTGAAACGAGACATCTCGGTGACCTGCAACTTCTTGTTCAGTATGCTATCGCCCTTGGCACAGAACCCTCGTCGATCAAAGAGTATCGCGAAGACTTCATCAACCCTCTCAAGGATCAATGCCGCCAGGTCATTATGGGACACAAGTCTCGGGCACCCCCTCTGCCACCCTCGGGCCCGTCTCCGAGTACGGACCAGCACCAATTCCGCATCTCTCGTGGAACCACAAATCCCAATATGGCATACATGGCTCAGCGCCGCGCCTATGCCCATAGACCCGGGCCTCTTCGTTCTGGCCGATCCGCTCCGGCTCCGCGCCACACCATGCCTGTTAGTTCGGCAACTCCTGGAGCTATGCCGCACCATTTCCAGTACAACATGGCTTCAGCACCCATGTATGATCCCCGGCAACAGCAACAATTTGCGATGATGCAGCAAGCTAGCGGAGGCATCATTGCCGAGGACTTGCGGAGTTTCCAGTCTATTGCTGGCAATGTCCCAGAGCAGGACATTGACATGCAGGATACTGATATGATGGACTCTACATTCATGTCAAGTCCAAGCTTTTCAGGTCCATATGGACCTCAAGGTATTACGACCGCTGCTGATGGAGCATGTATTACATCCACAGACCCTATGAACCCACACATA